CCATTGCCACTATGCCAAGAAGCCAGTCACTACATCATTAATTGCCCCAAAGACCAAGAAATCAAGGCAAGTAATTACACTGGAGCAGAAAAACAAGGTGCTGGAAGCACTGCAGCGAGGAAATGGTGCTTCAAGTGTGGGGCACTAATTTGGACTATCGGAGAGCTCTGTCCACACTATCAAGGTCAACGATAAGAAAATTAGAGCAGATGTTGCCAAGGGTAAACTCCACCTGAAGTCTGCTATGTATAGTGAGATGGAAGATGCACTGAAGGTATGGATAGAGGACATGCAGCGCCGAAAACTACCTCTCACTGGCCCCATGCTGCAAAACCAAGCCTACAGAATACAGTCTCAGATGCTTGAAAAGGAAGGGAAGTCCATCAAAGACAGCAAGCTCACAGCAAGTACAGGCTGGCTGTACAAATTTATCAAAAGGACTGGGCTACGGAATGTGACGCTTTCAGGTGAAGCTGCATCTGCCGACGCGGAGGCTGCTGAGGATATGAAAAAAGTCAAGAAGGATATAGTGTTAGAAAATGGTTATTCTCCTTGCCAAGTGTGGAATTGTGATGAAACTGGACTGTATTGGAAAAGAATGCCCAAGAAAACCTATCTAATGAAGAACGAAGAAAAGGCACCAGGGTTCAAGTTCAGCAAGGACAGACTGATGATTCTTCTCATGGCCAATGCATCAGGTACCGCAAGATGAAACCACGCGTCATCCACCATCAGCTAGACCTCGTGCCTTGAAAAATGTGCCCATCCCAAAACTTCCAGTAATTTGGCGATCAAACAAGAAGACATGGATGACTTCTGATATTTTTGATGAGTGGTACATCAGCCATGCCGCCCCATTCATCAAAAATGTTAAAAAAAATTGAACCTTAGCAACAAGGCCTTGGTTCTCATGAACAAAACATCTTGCCACTCCAAACACCTGTGCAGTGTGAATAAGGACGTAAATTTGACCTTCTTCCCTCCAAACGTGATTTCACTTATTCAATCACAAGATGAAAGTGTTATTGCCTTGTTCAAGAGATATTATCTCAAGTTTACCATGAAGCAAATGGCTGAAGCTATGAACAAGGAAAAGAATATGACTGCAGCAACGTTTTGGAAGAGCTGTACCATTAAAGATGCCAAAGCTAACATCGCACTTGCGTGGAAAAGTGTTTCAGAAACTGCACTAAATGGAGTGTGGCATAGTCTGTGGCCTGAGGTAGTCCATGATTTCAAGGGCTTTGATGAAGACGAGAACGTGAATGACATTCTGAAGCTCGTTAAGGAAGTGAGAGGTGATTCAGGATTTCAAGAAATCCAAGAAGAGGATGTGAATGAACTGTTTGTCAGCATGGAGGATCCTCTCACTTCTGAAGAAGTCTTGGAGATGGTGGAGATGGCGAAGAGAACACGAGGAAGAAGAGGAAGCGACAGACAAGCCCCAAACAGCGAGGAAGGAACTGACAATTCCTAAGCTGAGGGAGTTCATGCAACACGTCACTTCTGCCACCCAGTCTGCACTGCAACATGACCCCGATATGGAACACAGTATGCAAGTGGTGGAGGCGTTGAATCGGGCTGCATTTACGAACTCTCAGCTGCTCGCTCAGAAAATCACCTCATTCTTCCATCCATTATCCTCATCAGGTGAATTTGTTATGAAACTGTGTGTTATGAAACTGAGTGTTTATTGCTTGGAAAAATAGATATTAAATTTTGGGTGTATGATATGTAATAATTATGAGGTAAAAATTCAATAATTTAATGAATATTTTCCATTTCTTCAGCTCCTGGGGTAGCTGGCCCATCTGTGTCTGGGCAGACACGGCCGTCATCCAGTGCTTCCCGCGTGTCAGGTGCCTCCACAGCCATATCACTAGACAGTGAAGTGGATGATGAGCTGGCTGAGTTGGGCTCTGCATCTTCAGAGGATGACTTGCCTAACTGAAGGTGGGTGAAAATCTATATTTTATAACAAAAAGTAATGATAAACTAAGTTGAAAGTGAAAGTGCAGGGGGAGGGCCAGTGACGCGAGGCAGCAGACAGTACCATCCAGATCTCAACTCAACTGCAGGGAGTGCTTGCTGCATATATATCATTACGCCATATATTTTTCTAACATTTATTAGTTAATAAAAGTCTTTTTAGTATTTTGTGTTTCTCTCAAGTACCAAACTGAATTATTCCATTAAAACAACACTTCGATTTACTGCGAATTCGACTTAAAGCGACCTCTCTTGGAACGCATCTCGCGTTAAATTGACGTTCTACTGTACTGTAATAGGCCATGGTTGACTTATCGGTAATCTTTACCTGAGATCTCATTTAACTGTGAGGTCAAGTCCAAAACAGGGACTATGCCCAAGGATTGAAAAAGAATGGGTGAAGAAGAGATGGACAAAATGAAGAATGGAAAGGTGGCAGAAAGTTCTGGAATAGTTACAGATAAGTTGAAAGCACCTGACAATGCAGACATGCCAATGGTGGCCAAATTAATTGTATTGCAATAGTGATGAAATGTATTGTTCCAGACAATGCTCTTGAATGCAGAAACTACAGGAGCCTGAAGCTGCTGTATCAAGCTATGAAACTTGTGGAACGAGTTATCAAGATATTGATAATGGAGAGAGTAGACTTAATGAAATGCAGTTAGGTTTGTGCCAGGTAGGAGGACTACAAAGGCAATTATGGCCAGGACACTACAGGTATATGAGAAATACCTATGGAAGGAGAGAAAATTTGTACTTCATATTTATAGACTTCGAGAAAGGCATTTGAAGAGGACAATGATAAAGCTAGGGGTCAAGGAGTGCCTTGTTTGAGTGGTTATGACATTACAGTATGGCCGGAAAACCTCTGTGAGAGTAATCGGTGAGGAAAATGAGCTGAAAGTAGGAATCCATCAGGGGTCTGTCTTCAGCCCCTTACTGTTCATCATGGCAATGGAGGCAATATCACAGGACTCTACGACTGGCCTGACCTGGGAGTTGTATGCTAATGACTTAATGCTGTTGGCAGATAGCAATGAAGTGGCAATGGAATAATTTAAGAATGTGCAGCGAGTGTGGAAGGTGGATAGCCCAAGAGGTACAGTGGAGTAGATTGCAGACTGCATGATGTTGACTTTAAGTTAGCTGCATGCACAAGTAACTTTGTATCCATAGAGAAGCTGGAGAAACTCATCATTGGGGATATGTCCTTGGACTGTGTCAATGAGTTCTGTTACCTTGGTGACATGATCAGTGCTGAAGCCAGATCAGTTGTAAAAGTCACAAGTGGATGGAGGAAGTTTAAAGAGTTGCTGCTTTTCGTGACAGCAAGATTTATGCAGCTGGTATGAAATATGATAATGTATGACAGTGAACCCTGGCCATATGTTCACAATGATGAGAGACTGGGAGTTAATATCAGGCCACAGGTGTCTAAACCTTTACCCAACATGACCTATTTTTCTCCGCATGAGCAATAAGGGTTAGGTGTAAATGGGACTGTCCAGTATGGGCCAGTAGACCAGATGCAATTTCTTCCATTCTTATGTTCTAAGTAATACTAATAAGAACATCATTCTACTCTGTGTTTCATAAAAATGGTGAGTATGACTACTGATGGAAGTCCAAAATGTTAGGTTGTTGAAAAGAAGTAAATCTACAGGGAGCAGCAATGTAAGCTTTGACTATTTTTATCCCTGCATGATTTAATGATTATTTCTAGTGTATGAAAGTAGCCTCTGATACCAAGTGAAGAGAGAACTGTAAGGAACAGCTGATAGCAGTTTCATAAGTTCAGTACATCACACTTCTTATGTCAGCATGCAACTGGCGTGAGATGTATGGCAGTGATACACGGGTAATTAAAGTGGATGACATATGCAGGCTTGAACAAGCTGAAACGAGAATAGTGAGGTGGATGTGCAATGTAATACCGAAAGACAGGAAACCCTAGCCTGTTCAGAGCAAAGAGGTAGGCTGAGATGGTTTGATCATGTAGAATGAATGGCCAAGACCAACTGGGTCAAGAGATACAAGAGTTTGAACGTGGAGAAGAGGAAAGACAGGGGTAGGCTAGGAATAAGATGGGGGGAGGTTGTGAGAAATGACACCTGAGTTAAGTTATATCAAGAGGCAATGGGACTAAACCACTAATGAAAGAAGTCAATATGGACCAACCATATGTAAGATGACCAAAAACTATCCAAGGAATGCTAGGTTGGGTCTGTGTTGTCTGTATTAACCCACAGCCATTAAAAATTAGATTTTCATATATTCTCACCCATTTCTTCTTTTATCCCCCAATATATTTTCGTTATATACATTAATTCAAACACACCAGCAAATATTTTACCAATAAATATAAAGAAATACAGCCACGAGCCTTTCTTCCACCTCCACCCCCTCACCTACAGCTACAATAGTACCAACTTGCCACAACGTCCCTGACAGTAATTGTACCAGCTTTCACAGTGAAACATCTACAGTTTCTTATGCCAAGCTTGAATTAATTCTTAACACATAACACCAAGTCATGCCGAGAGATTACAGGTCATTTTCTTAGGTTGTTGACATGTTGAACTGCTTTGTGACATACGTATTATATGTAGAAATGATTGTACAGGTTCCTGGCTTTTAAAGGGAAACACAACTGCATAATACTTATATTTAACATTAAGTTTAGTCTATGGTTCATAAAACATAAACTAAAACACTCAATTAATTATTGAGAGAAATACATCGAGACCATTTTCACGGCAAAGATGCTAGCTGCTTCACACTAATTTCCTGCAGCACAGAGAGATAATCGTTAATTTTATAGCACTTACAATAACAAATAACTTAAATACATAGGACGGTCAGTATTTCCCATTAATTCGTGAACTCGATTATAACGAAATTGAGCTTAAACTGTTGGAGCGTACAGCGGTGGCCATGACCATGAGTGGGAGATCAAGGAAAGAGACTCCCGATTTATGCCTAAACCTTATCATTGACTCCGAGCTTACTTCTCTAAAATGTAGTTTCTGCATGAGGTGGTGTCGACCATTTTGACGAAGACCAGGAATCCTCGCTGGACACCCGGTATTTGACATTATTAACAATAAAGTGTGGGCGTCGTCCGTTGTCTCATGGCTCCTCCGTCCAGCGCCGCTCCTTGTGTTGTGATGAACAGCTGATCCAGCCGTTGACTGATGCACCTCTACTAAACTATTAACACATTCATTATCATCCACTGTAACTAAACAAATATATGTCCATTCAGATATAAAGGGTTAACCAATCGGCTTGTTATCGAATATATAACTTTTTTTTTTCATTTGAGGAGTACATCAATAATCACGTATGTTCTTCCAACAATTTAAATCCCCATCTTGAAACAATAATTTTATGAATTAGTGATATAGTAATTATCATTATAAATCATTCCTTTTCACTGGTAAACCTAAATAAGAGTGATAAAGGTTGTGGTGTTAGGGTGCGCATGTGAGGCGTCACTTGGTGCCGTCAACCAGTGGTGAACTTGGCCCGTGGCGAGTGAAAATGAGCACCAAGCCCGAAATGAATCGCCGCAGTAAGTAACATTTATGGTATGAAAATATAGGTGAATATAAGCATTTAAAGTCTTGAAGGTAGTTACTATCCAATGTGTCTTTCAGTTGCAGCGGTCGCTAAGAAGAAACGGGCAAAAAAGCCGAAAAACAACAGGCCCCAGGCAAGCAAGGCTCGAGAGGGCAATGACAACAACTCTGCTAGGGGAAGGTAAGTAGTCCTGGCAACTTTGTATTATACGCAATGGGAATAAACTTTTCGGGGTAATTAACACAGTTCAAGACCCTTTAGATTAACTTCTTTGTTGGCTCGGACTGGCACATCCAAATCGGTGCACAGTGGTTGGGAGCTTCACGTCAGTTTCATGGATGGTGATTCACTTAATTGACTTTAAGGCTCTCAGGATATGCAATTTGGTTTGTTTAGTCTTACATCTGCTTAAATTTCTAGACTATACCACTAAGCCTTTCGAGAAAAAGCTCCTCTTGGGTTATATTATACAAAGTGGTTGTCATGCTTGCTTAAGGGAAATATCACCTCAACTTCACACTATGGAATTCAAACATTTATGTATTGAAAAAAAGAACCATTACTGTAAGGCCAAACAAAATGATGATGAATAAGCTACAGATTGTTACTATCGGTTACAAAAAAAAAAAATCCAATTATATGAAAAAGTCTTGGTTCATTTGGGTGGTATTATGCTGTGAGGTTTAGTACTGTTTGTAGTGCTGACATATAATTATTTAATTTAAGAAACACTGATGAACTGATACAAAATCCACAGTAAAAATTATCAAAATAACTGAGGTGACCAACAAAGCATCTGTAGGATCACACTAGTCAACTATACATTATAAGTTTACATTGGTTTAGTTCATACATACACAGTGTTGATTTAACCAAGGATAGCCCAGGAGACATTTAACCAAGGATAGCCCAGGAGACATTTAACCAAGGATAGCCCAGGAGACATTTAACCAAGGATAGCCCAGGAGACATTTAACCAAGGATAGCCCAGGAGACATTTAACCAAGATAGCCCAGGAGACATTTAACCAAGGATAGCCCAGGAGACATTTAACCAAGGATAGCCCAGGAGACATTTAACCAAGGATAGCCCAGGAGACATTTAACCAAGGATAGCCCAGGAGACATTTAACCAAGGATAACCCAGGAGACATTTAACCAAGGATAACCCAGGAGACATTTAACCAAGGATAACCCAGGAGACATTTAACCAAGGATAACCCAGGAGACATTTAACCAAGGATAACCCAGGAGACATTTAACCAAGGATAACCCAGGAGACATTTAACCAAGGATAACCCAGGAGACATTTAACCAAGGATAACCCAGGAGACATTTAACCAAGGATAACCCAGGAGACATTTAACCAAGGGTAGCCCAGGAGATAAGAAACAAAGCAGGATACTATCATCTTACATCTTGGGAAAATAATGAGCAAAGATTTTGTGCAATGAAAACAAATAAAAAAATAAAAAACGGGAGTCCTGAGAATTGCTTTCATGATTACAGTATAATGTATTTCTTTTGGAACCTGCAAAATGAACTTACATAACCTTATTTGGCTTAACTTAATTTGTATGTTATGTAGGTTATGATTGTTAATTTATTCCTGTTTTAAAAGATGGTGTAAAATATACACCATTCATATATTTTTAGATACTTAAACTTTAACCCATTGTGTGTGGGGGTCTCTATCTGCTGAATAAAATCGTTTGGTGTTAGCCATAATGAAGGGTAAAGATCATTATATTATTCAAGATTATGAGTAGAACAACATTTTTTTTTGTGACATTTGTAGGCAACATCACCGAGTGGGTTGGTTAACAGCATTATAATACAGTACGCACTGTACTGATCTTGGTTATAAAAAAGATAGGAAAATATACATAATTTTAAGAAATGGTTACTGCTTTATTATTGTAGTTATATTTTTGACTGGTACAATATAGGTTCAAGGGAAAGTGTGCATGAACTCTGGGAAATCTTCATAGGAAATATAGTGGTCTCTTTTTAGTTTGTGCTAGGAAAGTTATGGGCATTAATCTACTGTACAGTATTTCCATTAGTAATTAAAAAAATTAAGCCTACTTAACCTAGTTTAATAATCCTGGGTTAAGTTTGCTGTCATATAATAGCTCCTTAGTGCCAATAAACATCTACATTTAGTGTTGAGATTTAAATATGTTTTTCATAAGATCAGATTTATGTTGTTCCCTCCACCATATTTATATTTTCTGCATTGGAAGAAATAGTTTAAGGAAAATCCTGAAGAAAAAATCTGACAAAGTGATGGCTGTCTCCAAAATTACCCTGTGTGTGTGCAAGTGAAACTACTGGTAGGTGAGTCCTTTACCAGGGAATACTGTACCCAGAAACTGCAACACCAGCATTCAACAGCCTTGTTCTAAAGAGATAATGCAATATATGCTTGAATGTTGATAAAATCCTGCCTAATACAGTATACAATATAACCAGTCTAAAAACATTGAGAGTGGAGGGCCATGGTTGCCAATCTTCATACCTGAATTACATATAGTATTGAGGTTGCCAATTTGAAATTGTAGTGTAATATCAATAGTGTGATCAAAAAGGGTGAAGAATCTACATAAATTTGTCAATAATAATCATTAGTGATTTCAGTGATGTAATTACTGTACTTGTATCCTGCGAGACATTTAGTGAATTATTGGTACAACGATTAGTCAATGGTCAACCTGCTCGCTTCACAGGTGAGTGGCCCCGAGTTTGATCCCCGGGCAGGGTGAAACTATGAGCAAGTTTCTTTATGCCATTTGCTCTGTCTACCCAGCAGTAATTAGGAACCTGGATGTTAATTGATTTGTGGATCGTGATCATGGGTAATGGTTAGCCATTGCAGTTGGCGAGTTGTCGTCTCGAACTATTCCTTGACACTAGGTCATGCAACTCATTAACTAACGGTGTGGTTGTTGTGTTGGCAACAGCTTCTATACCTTAAGCAAATGATGCCTCGGTGGCCCTTGGGCTGATCATCCTTGTACAACCATATTGACATAGCTAGTGTTACAGCAGCCCAAGGCATAGCTGGTGTTACAGCAGCCCTAGGCATAGCTGGTGTTCCAGCAGCCCTAGGCATAGCTGGTGTTCCAGCAGCCCTAGAAATAGCTAGTGTTACAGCAGCCCTAGACATAGCTGGTGTTACAGCAGCCCTAGACATAGCTAGTGTTACAGCAGCCCTAGACATAGCTGGTGTTACAGCAGCCCTAGACATAGCTGGTGTTACAACAGCCCTAAACATAGCTGGTGTTCCAGCAGCCCTAGAAATAGCTAGTGTTACAGCAGCCCTAGACATAGCTAGTGTTACAGCAGCAGCAGAGTAAGAAATGGTGTAACAGCAGTAGTATAGTGATAAGTGCTGTTAGAGCAGCTGTAAAGTGAGATGCGAGTCACACTAATGCTAAAAGTGTGGATTCACAACAACAGTAAAGTGAAAATTGGTGTTACAGCAACAGTAAAGTGAAAATTGGTGTTACAACAACAGTAAAGTGAAAATTGGTGTTACAGCAACAGTAAAATGAAAATTGGTGTTACAGCAACAGTAAAGTGAAAATTGGTGTTACAGCAACAGTAAAGTGAAAATTGGTGTTACAGTAAAGTGAAAATTGTTGTTACAACAACAGTAAAGTGAAAATTGGTGTTACAACAACAGTAAAGTGGAAATTGGTGTTACAACAACAGTAAAGTGAAACTTGGTGTTACAACAACAGTAAAGTGAGATACTGTATAGTGTTACAACAGTAGTGTGAGATACTGTATAGTGTTACAACAGCAGTAAAGTGAGATACTGTATAGTGTTACAACAGTAGTGCGAGATACTGTATAGTGTTACAACAGCAGTAAAGTGAGATACTGTATAGTGTTACAACAGTAGTGTGGGATACTGTATAGTGTTACAACAGCAGTAAAGTGAGATACTGTATAGTGTTACAACAGTAAAGTGAGATACTGTATAGTGTTACAACAGCAGTAAAGTGAGATACTGTATAGTGTTACAACAGCAGTAAAGTGAGATACTGTATAGTGTTACAACAGCAGTAAAGTGAGATACTGTATAGTGTTACAACAGCAGTAAAGTGAGATACTGTATAGTGTTACAACAGCAGTAAAGTGAGATACTGTATAGTGTTACAACAGCAGTAAAGTGAGATACTGTATAGTGTTACAACAGCAGTAAAGTGAGATACTGTATAGTGTTACAACAGCAGTAAAGTGAGATACTGTATAGTGTTACAACAGCAGTAAAGTGAGATACTGTATAGTGTTACAACAGCAGTAAAGTGAGATACTGTATAGTGTTACAACAGCAGTAAAGTGAGATACTGTATAGTGTTACAACAGCAGTAAAGTGAGATACTGTATAGTGTTACAACAGCAGTAAAGTGAGATACTGTATAGTGTTACAACAGCAGTAAAGTGAGATACTGTATAGTGTTACAACAGCAGTAAAGTGAGATACTGTACAGTATAGTGTTACTCCAGCAGTAAAGTGAGATACTATATAGTGTCACAACAGCAGTAAAGTGAGATAGTGTTACAGTGGCAGTAGAGGAAGTGTTTCAGCAGTAATAAAGTGTGAGGTGGTGTTAACAGGAAACTAATGTGAGAGTTAGTGCATTTTGGTATTGTATAAATGTGTAGATAGTACCGTACCGTATGTTATTTTGAAATTATACTGCCGGTATATGTGTGGTGGGCAGATTAAGAATGAATGAACTACAAATCCCTTCCCATTGCTTATTATTTTATTTCTTCATACATATCTTGTGAGGAAAGGCATTGGGTTTTGTTCCTCCCTGATTTTCAGTTTTTGCTTCACATATGCTGTGTACAGGTATTATATAGATAATTTTCTGGTGTTCTTGTTGGGATCAATGTCACTTAAGGTCCATCTACAGTACACTGTGTCACTTATGGGTTGAGAGTCACCAAGAGCTAGAAAGCACTGTCTGGCCTAAACAAATCCTTGGACTATAAACAAAAATCCCCAAAGTGTAGGAGTAAGAGGGCATAAACTAATACTGTACTGTAATAGGATCTTAGAAGACGGTGAGGAATATAGTACAGTATTGTATCTAAATATTTGCAGAATTTTTTTTAGAAGATTTATAGGAAGCAGACACAGCAGTTGAATTTAATACAATT